GGGACCATTTGTGCAGTTTAGTCAAAATATTATATACCAATCAACTTGTTTTAAAAAATATATATTCTTGTTTTTCAGAAAAAAAACTAAAAATGTCATACCAAATAAACGCTTGTAAAAATTATATAATAATAATAATAATAATAATAATAATTATATTAATAATAATAAAGATTTTTAAATGAAACGCAACTAATTTTCTTTTTCTTATGAAAAATACCAAAAGTCCCAAATCTTTTACGTTATACATTCCAAAAGAAGAGTGGGGTCGAAAAAGCACCGCCAAATTTATTCCAAGAATCTCGATATCAACTTAGGAAACGCTCATTCCAAAAAATCAATTTAGTCCAAGAATCTTTATATCAATTTAGGAAACGCCATCCTTCGAATTAAGAAACGCTCATCCAAAAAATTAATTTATTCCAAGAATCTCGATATTAAGTTATTAACTGAATAGCATTTCTCGTTGCTATCTCTTTCTCATCTCTTTCGTTGGTAGCCAAATTCATTGTTACTGCGCTCCGCCACTGAGTTGCTGTAAGTATATCAATAATTCATTGTTTTATAGTTGGAAACACGAACTTCATAATCATACCTTATTTTTTGATTACTGATTGAACTCAACATGTTCCTGCTTGATCTACCATTCTAATATTTACTTTATAGGCAATTCTTCACAAAGATCAGAAGTATCAAGAATAGATTCGCTTTATGAATGGATATTGTAGATTTGTAGTGATTTTGTACGTAAATATATGTTATTGTATTTTTGGAGTGACTAACTCACACCATAAGTATATTCCTAAATCTGTTATTAATTATAATATAATCTCTGTTTATATGGATGTCGTATTGTACATTTGTACAGTGGAGTAATTTTTGATGTATTTATATATGTACCTTTTTCATTTTTTCAATAGCCTCAAAGAGCAATCAAATACGTGTTATTTTTTTTTAAGGTCAATCGATTGTATGGACAATCTTTTTAATGATTATTTCAATCAAGCTGTGCCTTGTTGTTTTGAATAATCCTCCCTTCAATAGAAAGAAATTCACTCTAAAATCCGTTAAATTTGAAATTGTTAATTTGCAAGGTTGTGCAAAATGGACGACTGTTATTTGATTAAGTAAAAGTGGATTATAAAGAAAATGGAGAATGTTATGAAAACTAAGAATGGGAATGTATGAAGCAATTGATGCCAATAATGTTTATTGAACCTAATTTAGGGTGAAAAAGGTAAATAAATGTTCAATAAATACAAATGCCCCAAATGAGTAGTTATTTGTGTAAATGCTTTTCGTTAGACCACTTTTGGTTATTTAAAGAAGTTTATTTATGCAGTTTCATGAGTGTTATGGAAGATTGGTTGGTGTCACTCTATGCAGAGCTTGAAGAGAAGGGTATTACTATACCAGAGAGGTACTCTCAGTTATTTATATTTATGGAACAATGTTTTCACATTTTTTTTCCACAATTTATTCAACTGACAAGAATTATGCATTATTTTTAAAACTGGATGATTGATGTAGGCTTAATGAGGATGAACTTCGTAGGTTCCATGATGCCTTTGGTGGTGACTTTGCAAAGTTTTTATCATCGGTTGAAAAAACCATTCAATGGAGGTGTAAATACACTATGCTTTCACAACAAGAACTTGACGCATGGGGCAATTTGGTCTTTTGGCATGGATCTGATGTAATGCAACGACCTACCCTCGTTATACGGATTGGACTCGCAGGTTCTACTTTGGATTCAGATGACCAAGCGGAGTTTGCTAGAGCAGTCGGTATGCAATTAATGCAGTAGCTACTTCCTCATAACTTTTCTATGTTTTTTCTATTTCAATATCTTTATTGGTAGTAATATTTCGTGCAATTTAATTTCCGTGTTTAATCAAATGTTTGAAACCATATATGATATATATTTTATATATCAGTTTCACAGGTCGAATACGGGGTTGTAAATTTGGTTCATCCAGAAAATCCTCATATTACTGTTTTGTTAGATTGTTCTAGACTATCCCGGTTTGAATTCCCGCTACAAACATTTAAATCATGTGTGGCTCTTCTTCAAGATCATTACCCAAACAGGCTTGGATGCTTACTTGTTGTACGACTTCCCTCTAATGCCAAAGTCATGACTCAAATTCTTTACCAAGTAAACATGTTTGTCACTTTAATGTTTTTTTTCCCCAATTTCATGTGGCATAGAAAATTCTACATTCTGTTTTGTTAATGATAAAGGATTTGAGGCCTGGAACAATGCGAAAGCTGATATTTGTGGAGGCATTCGATTACAGAAGAGTTCTTTCAAGCTACTTTAAAGACATGCCGGATTTTCCAACAACTGGAGAAGAAGCTATTGGGGGGCTTGTCATTCTATGTTTATTCATTGGTCTCCCTTTTCTCTTATTTTTATCACTTTATTTTCTCTAGTTTATGCTCTGATTATGGTCATTGTCAAGTTGATAGAGAGCATGCATATTCTTCCATAAAATTATAAACACAATTCCAAACAAGTGAAACAGAATTATCAGAAGTTCATTGTCATATTGCACCTTCTCAATGTCATCATATACATTCATGATCTCTTCTCACATATAACAAACACCTCCATAACTACAATTCATGTCCGGATAGTGGTTTGCTTTTAGTTTCCATCACCTATTTTTGGAATGTTCTATTGTAAAGGAAGTAGCAGCTCACACAAACCTCTGGTGGCCGGTTATCCCAATCAATTCACAGTCGATTGATGAGATGTTTGATATCACTTCTAGTTCGTTATGCAGAACCATGATGGGGAGTGTGAAGTCAGTTGTTATCTTTGCTCTCATTTGGGTCCTTCGGTGTTATAGGAATGATCGTATCTTTAACAACAAGGTTAAGCAAACCAAAATTTTATCGAGTGAAGTGCAATTGTATGTTTATTTCTGGCATAAAAATAGAAGTAGAAAGGATGATCAAATTAAATGGCTTGATTGGTGTACTAACCCGTCTTGGGTATGCTTGTAACTTTCTTCTAGCCACTCGCTTGCTTAATTTTTGTAATAAAATCTTTCTTGTTGTTCAAAAAAATAAAAATTAAAATAAAATAAAGATTGACTGGAGTCGTTAAATTGAAGTACAGTTCCAAGAAACCAACCAAGTCAAGACAACTCATGAGATACACGGGACTGACTCGATTTAACTCTAGTTCGAGTATCAAAATACCTGGCTCGTTAAGTTCACAACATTAATTGAAATTAGTCAAACTTATACATTTATTTTATTCATATATTATATAAGTAAGCTTAGTCGAGCCAAATCCCACGAGCTTAATCATATTTGTATTTCGAATTTGAGGTAATCAATACATAATCGAGTAAAGTCGAGGTGAACTTGAAAGTATTGATTAGTTGGTCGACCTAGACGCATGGTGCGCCACGCACACCGGCCGCTCCTCCAAAACCACCTCCGAATCCATCTCCCTTATGTAATGCCAAGTTTTTCCAGGTACAATTTCAGTTGTTCTTGATCTTTTAGGGTACAATATTTCTTTTAAAAGATGCTAGCTGCACATCATATTATAAGTAATCATTGGAATTGTGAGCAATCTTGATATTGATACCGAAAGGAAAGGTATCTTGAAATCATTATGTGTGTTCGTTTGAGGAGATTGTAGTCACTTGAAAGCTGAATCGTGTCTGATTGTAACATTTTCAGGCCAACATGAGAATATTGGTTACCGGAGGAGCTGGTTTCATTGGTTCTCACTTGGTGGACAGATTGATGCAAAATGAAAAAAATGAGGCGCATTTTCTTTAAACATGTTTTGGTGACATTGCTGTTGTTTTGGTACTCAAGGATTATACTAACTCAGGTGATAGTAGTGGATAATTACTTTACTGGATCAAAGGATAACCTTAGACAACGGTTTGGTCACCCAATATTTGAGCTTATTCGTCATGGTATGTGTTCTAATTATGCAAGATATTGATACTATTAGATTAACCAATTATTATAGTTTACTTTTTCTTTTAACTCTATGCAATATGCATTGCTTATTATAACTGTAAACCATATTCTTTATGATACAAACATCACAGAACCATTTTTTTTTTTTTCACTCTCTATTAAATTATATTAGACTAGTTCAATACATATCGATCGAAGGCAAACGGGCAACAAGCTGCGCCGCTAGCATGTCCTGCTTCCCTAATATTTTACAAATACAATGCTGTGAAGGTATCTAATCGAGACTTAAGTTTAAAGGAAATCTCCAGAAAAGTCCTAAAATTTTATCATAATTTACGAAAAAGTCCCAAACTAAAATTTGTTTACGAAAAACATAAATTACTGGTAAAAATAACGATTTGACCCATTTTTCCCGGTTTACCGGTTTTATTACTTACCAGTTTCATTAAAGTCCCATTATTTTACCATAATTTATGAATAAGTCTCAAACTAAAATTTTGTGATGATTTAGCCATTTCATCCATGTAACATACATTTTACCGGTTTCATTGCCGATCTGGACGCTTAATCATTAAATGAGCTGATGAGATAGATAAGTTGGGTTATATAATGTTATGTTTACCATAAAACTTGATATCTTGATATACTGTATATTCTTTTGGAATATAAAATGCATCTGGTATGAATCAGGGGAGATGGGGCCGAGTTTATAAGAGACGCAACGCAAGGGGCGATTAGTAATTTAATTAAAGTTAATTATAGACTTTATTTGTTTTTATTAAGTTTCCTAGTATGGTGATTTTCGTTTATGTTTAAATAAGGGCTAGGGCCGGCTTGGGGAGGGGACGGGAATTAAGATCTTTAATCTTTCTTTGTGGATATCTCTCTGAATCTCGAACTATCAGAGCCCCATTGTTGATTTCTTTTAAGCATTAAGCTAATAGTAGTTGCAGCTTTGATTCCGTTCATATCAAATTGGTATCAGAGCGACGTTCCTAGAGCACTGTTCACAACGTTATTGTTCATCAGATTTATAAATCAGATCCATGACAAAACCAGTCACTCGTTCCGAAAGCACCAAAGATTCGACCTCCGATGGTGATCGCGACCGATTGGAGGAGATGAAGCAGGAGATTAATTCGATCAAGGCAGATGCAGAAAAGAGACATGTTATTGCAGACCAAAGGCATGCGGAACTGATGGGATTGCTCTTGAAGGTTTCGCAAACTTCTAGCGTACCACCACTGATTTCTTCATCAACAAGTCAGACCCATCCACCGCCACCATCATCGAGCCTACCACCACCACCACCGTCGTTGTTCCAGTCAGTGACATCTATACCGATCCCGACATTGACCACACACCTGACGGACAGATCGTTCCAACACCAGCCCCACCTTGCCCAGTTTGGAAGGGAGGATCAAAGGGGCCAACCCACACCATTTACATTCGGAGACGTCTTGGGTTCAAGTAACGGTCGAGGTAAACAGACCTACTTGGACACGGGGTGGGGGGGGGGAAGACCAGTATGAACCCATGGGTTATAACGAGAGCCATGTATTTAACCAAGACCTTACGGGTGGCCACAAAAATGGAGGAGGATGGGTACCGGGAACAGATTATCGCCTGCGAAAGCTAAAGATGCCATTATTTGAAGGTGAAGATGCATTTGGATGGGTATACAAGGTTGAACGTTTCTTTGAGATCCAGGGTTTGGTTTCGTTTATAGAAAAACTCAGGGCCACGGTATTATGTTTGGAAGGACCAGTGTTGGCTTGGTATCGTTGGAATAAGCAGCGTCCGCCATGCTGTAGTTGGGACGAACTCAAAATTAGATTGCTTGACCGGTTCCAACCCTCGCTAAATGGAAGTTTACATGAACAATTCCTAAAACTTACTCAAAAAGACACTGCGTGCGAGTATGTTGGCAGATTTGAAGCATTGGCAGCCCAACTGAGTGGTATACCTGAACCAATTCTGGAAGGAAATTTCATTAAGGGACTTAAACCCGAGTTAAGAACATCGGTGCTTAATTCACAACCAGTAGGCCTTAGTTAAACAATCAGACTAACATTGTTGATTGATGAGAGCCACTCGGGTACAGATTCGATAACCGAGAAGGGGATAACCAGGAGCGCCACTACTCGACCTCATGTTAGTTTTGTCAAACCGTTAGCCCAAATCGTGGGGCCTGAGTAGAAGGTAACCACAATCACTAAAGCACCTTTTAAACGGTTGACAGAAGCAGAAATAGCTGCAAAACGAGCCAAAGGATTGTGTTTTAGTTGTGACGGAAAGTTCAGATCGGGACACAAATGCCCTGGAAAAACATTACTGAAAAAACATTACAGGTGTTGTTGGTCGATGAAGAAGGTAGTGAAGAGGAGGAAGAGGACCCGGAGGCCGGAGAATGCTCATCTTGACATGATATTTGTTTCGGCTAGTTCGGTTATGGGGTTGATGTAACAACGTAAATTTTCAAAACAATTTTTCATTTTTAAATCATACTTTCATTCACATGATAATCACAAAACATAATGTGTCACTGTGTCATAACAAAAACATGTCCCAGAATCTCAATAACATAAACTCCATAAGTGTGTACGGATCATGCCGGCGCCTTCCCACGGTCCTCGCTAGTACCTGAAACACATATCATAACAACTGTAAGCATAAATGCTTAGTGAGTTCCCCAAAATACCACATGCCACACATACGTCTTTCCAGGCCACAACTCTGTAGGATCTTCCGATCCATGTGTCTCAGGGAACTCCCGTCCCAAATCCCGGTAGACCTTCCGGTCCTACCCGTGTCGACCTTCCGGTCCGTAACCTCTTGACCTTCTGGTCCATATCATACATAATCATACATAGCACATACATATCACATAACCGCATATAGCACATACATCATAGCATACAAGACCTTCCGGTCACACATAAGTACCCTTCCAGGTACAGTATAGTGAGAAGACTCACCTCGTATGATGTCTAGTAACTCACGTGCTCGATATCCCTGAATCTCGAAACAACGACCTAGCCCCGCCTAATCACATAAAGTAATTATTTCAAATCATTAACGGCTCTCAAGGCTAGACTAATCCCTTCCTATGTCCTCTCAGAAGGTTAAAAGACCATTTTACCCCTCAATGGTCCCAAAAGTCCAATTGTTGACCAAACCCTAAAAGTCAACAAAAGTCAACTCTCCGGGTTACGCTGCGCGTACCAAGCCTGTACGCTGGGCGTACCCGGCGACCTCACAGAAACGGGGAACGCGACCCCCTACGCCGCGCGTACTGGGATTACGCCCAGCGTAACTCCCAGTTTCAGACTCCTTAGCTCTTGAGATCTTAAACAGTTAAGACCCACACCCAACTTTTAGATCTGACCATTTCTAAGCCTCTTAATCCATAAAGTTGGTGACTTTAAGCCTTTGCATGGCTGGACAAGTCACTAACACCCATAACATTCCATTACCCAACTCTAGAAAGCTCATAATACAAGCATGACCTCATATCAACGACCAAGATGGAAACTTTATGGATCTATAACACAAATATCGCTGAAATGGGACAGATCTAGGTCCATGGAGTCCTTTATGCTCATAAAGTCTCCACCTTTGGGACTTTAACCCTAGAAATGGTCCATAAAGCACAAACCAAAAATAACAAGTAAAGCTTTGAGCTTTATACCTCCAAGTGAAGCTCCTCCCTCTGTAGAACTCAGATCCAAGCTTGTACTCCAACTTCTAGCCTCCACAAGAACCTCCTCTTCTTCTTTACTAACACACAAAGGCACTTTCTTGCTCAAGAACACACACACTAGCTTTAGAACGATAAAGTTGCTCTTCTAGGGTTTCTCTCTGAGGGATGGTGGCTGGGGACAAGACCATCTCATTCCTTTTATAGCTCTCAAGCCACAATTAGGGTTTTGCACCTGGGCCAACTACGCCCAGCGTACCTAGGCGAGTCCGCGTCCAAAATAAGCACATGAGTACGCGCAACGTACTCTTGAGTACGCCCAGCGTACTCATTTGCTATAATTTCCACTCAAGGGCTAATCTTGACAACTTGACAAAAGAGAAGGGTTAAATAGTTGTACCTGAATTTCGGGATGTTACAGTTGACTACACCGCAGACCATGAAACTCAGAGGGCATATCAGTGGGATCGAGGTGGTGGTACTTATTGATAGTGGAGCGACCCATAACTTCATTTCACTACCTCTAGTGGGAAATATAAGTCTCACAGTGAAAGGCACGCGCGAAACAGTGGTGATGATGGGAAGCGGGAAATTTGAAAAGAGTTATGGGTTGTGTAGACGAATGGTTTTGTCTCTTCCAGGCTACCAAATGACAAGTGATTTCTATCCTTTAGAGCTCGGGAGTACATATTTAATTCTAAGAATTAAATGGTTGCGCACTCTAGGCGATACACGCGTTAATTGGAGAGAACTCACTATGTCTTTTGTAGCAGAAGGAAAGAAGGTCACACTAAAGGGGGAGCCAGGGTTGACTAGAGCAGAGACATCATTACAAGCGCTAGTTTGCGACCTTCCAGGAGTAACCGAGGTTACTTGGTCGAGTTTCAGAATTTAGTTGTTGCTACGGGACCATCATCACAAGTGCAACCGGATTTGGACGACTTACTAACTGATTTTGCTGATGTTTTATACTACCTGCAGGTTTACCCCCATCTCGTGGACACGAGCATGCCATTAATCTGAGGGTCGGGACCGAACTGATCAATGTACGACCCTATCGATATCCACAACTGCAGAAGGACGAGGTGGAAAAACTCATTGAGGAGATGCTTACAACAGGGGTAATTCGAGCAAGTTCTAGTCCGTTTTCCAGTCCGATGTTATTAGTGAAAAAGAAAGATGGCAGTTGGCGATTCTGCATCGACTACCGGGCTCTTAACAAGGCAACAATATTAGACAAGTTTCCTATCCCTGTTATTGACGAATTGCTCGATGAACTACATGGCGCGGTTATTTTCAGCAAACTTGACTTAAAATCCGGGTACCATCAGATTCGGATGAAACCGGGAGATATTCAAAAGACGACACTCTGGACCCACGAAGGGCATTATGAATTCCTTGTGATGCCCTTTGGGTTGACCAATGACCCATCAACGTTTCAAGCACTTATGAACAAAGTGTTTCGCCCGTATCTGAGTAAATTCGTTCTCGTCCTCTTTGACGATATATTGATCTACAGTCGGTCGATAGATGAGCATCGGGAGCACCTTACACGGGTTTTTGGATGCCTTAGAACTAAGGGCCTATTTTGTAATTGCAAGAAGTGTGTTTTTGGTCAAGATAGGGTGGAATACCTTGGGCAGATAGTGACAAAAGACGGTGTCATGGCTGATCCGGCGAAAATATTAGCTATGACCTCATGGACTGAGCCGAAGACGATACATGAGCCGAAGATGGTTACTAGACTTATCCAAGTGGGAGACTGTTGGATTAGTGTCTAAGCCCGTAACCATATTTGGTAAGTACTTGACCCGGTTGTGCATGGTCCTTTTGGGTTGCCTTCACCAAAGCAACTTGACTGGAGAAATAATAGAGAAAGAGGTTATTATGATTTATTAATATATTATAAGAATAATATATTAAGAGAGAAATCATATTTGTTTAATTAACATTGGTCAATAATTAATTAAGAAATTAATTTTGTGATTAAAAGAAGTTAATTGAACTAAGGGGACTGAACTGTAATTATGTGATAGTTACAAAGTTGGGCAAGGAAACCCTATGGGATAGGGTGGACGAATTCAAGGGGTTAAAGGCCTTAGAATTCGTCCAAAGATAGGCCTTCTAGAATTATCCTTGGGCTGCTTGGTGGCTAAGCAACCAGATAAGGATAAGGACTAAAGCCCTAATTCCTACACCTATATAATGGACCCTTGGCATAAGAAATTCGACCACTTGATCCCTAGAGTTCCTAGAGCCAAATTTTACCTCTCCCCCCTCTCTCTCTCTCTCTCTCTCTCTCTCTTGCTTCTTCAATTGCTCTTGGTGTTTGTGAGGCATTAGAGGTACTACACTTATGGTACTTGCTTTCAAAGATAAGAAGATTCAAGAAACAAGTTGTTATTACTATATAACAACAAGAGGTATGTAATTCATTCTTCCTTATGATTTTCGAAATTACTAGGAGCATGCTAGGTTTCTTTTTGTGTTCATAATGTTGTATGACTAATAGTGAAAACATAGATCCATATCTAGGGTTGCATGCACACATAGGATTGTTTGTATAAAACCCATCAGTGGTATCAGAGCGTTTAGTTTTTGTTTTCAATTAGTTTTATTCAAAAGTATGAATTTGACATATTAGGGTTTATAGCCAATAAACCCTAAAGGCATGATTTTCAAAATTATGGTTCATAAACCCTAGATTTCGAAATTTGATAGGGTTTCCCAAACCCTTTCCTTAGCCTCCAAGATTTCGAATTTTAGGGTTATCCAACCCTAGGGTTTTTGAAATTGCCTCCTCCCCAAGATAAGATTCCTAAATTTAAGGGATTTGGATAATGCCATATCTCTTAATTATCCATTTAATCGTTTAATATGGTAATTAAAGATTTTTGAATTATCCCATCCAAATTTTCGAATTTGAGGGGATTTAAGGGATTAGGTTAAATTAATTGTTAATTTAATAGATAATCTTTCAAGATTTGATAATTCAAATTAATTGTTTAATTTTGGGATAATTACTACATCAATGTTTTAAATATTTAAGATTTTAAAATTAAAAGGTTATAATTTTCGAAAATTTCAAATATGATTAAAACTCTAGTATTTTGAAATGTTTAAAATACACTCTTATACTATTATAATATTATAAGATTAATAATTATATATATATATATATATATATATATATATATATATATATATATATAAGATTAAGCTAGTCTTACCGTTAGTAGGCCTCATTCACGAAGACGATCTATAAGGTGGGTATAAGGTTATGGCCTATAAAATGGCCGTTTAATGGATGTCCACTCTCTCCCACCGCTTCCTTGATTGGTGGAGGGTCGTTAGCCGA